ACTGGTAGCTTTTTTAATAGAAAAGGTTGTAACCAATCTCTTTTCTTTTCCTCAGGCTCTTGGGCTTGCTAGGATGCTCAAACCACATTCTTCTTCTGCTGGAGCTGACTGATGGGGCAACTCTCCAAACGTGGCCCAAGGGTACCATTAAAAATCTGTCTTCTTCCTTCCCTGCTTGCATCTGCTTGTCAGACAACAGGTGTAATGTCCCACCTCCTTCATCTGCCTGTCTTACACCAGATGCTGTCTCTGATAGGCTTGTAGCATGTGCTGACCTTTGCCCAGGCAGGTACATTCTCTAGCAGGGTGAGGTTGCAGAGACAACCTGCTGTTGTCCTTGGAAACATTCCAGGCTGGTGACTCTGTGCCTGAGGGAAGCGGAAATAAGAGGACCAGTGGAGCAAGGGAGAGATCATATTCATTACAGAGGCAGGTAAGCAAATACAGGGTGAAAGAGATCTAAGTTAACCCTCACAAGAAAAACTCATTGCAAGGCAATTGATGTTCTGCTCCCCCCCCCTTCAGGAGTAGCACAGTCATAACTCTGCCTTTTGTGACAGGCTATAAGGGACACAAGAGAGCAAGGTATAAATTGCTACCAGGACAGAAAATCAGCCACTCTACACATTTGTATGCCATTTGGAGAGTGGGTGGTCCAAGACAGAATTTTTGGAAATGAGAACTTTCCTTGGGGATGAAAATAAAGCACTGGCTTTTGGGAGAAAATGTTCTTACTGAACAAAAACTCTTTTCTGTTTTTACTCTCAAGGGTTAGCATGTCCCTATCATTAAAAGGAATGTAAAGGAATTTAAATTTAAAGGAATGTATAGGAAAAAATTGATAGATTCTATGAAGGAGTACAGGAAGAAATTGACAGCACACCAACACAGGATGTCAAGCTGATCACTGGAGATTGGATCAAAATGTTGGAAGCAAAATAGAATCAAAAACAGTAGACAGATTTGGATTATGCAAAAGAAATGAAGCATGTGAGCAGCTGATAGATTTTTGTGAAGCCAACAACCTATTCATTGCAAACACATTTTTCATACAACCAGAAAGAAAGCTATACACATGGACATCACCAGATGGTCAACACAAAAATCAAATAAATTATATAATTGGAAGTAAAAGATGATGGAACTCTATACTGGTGGCCAAGACTAGACCAGGCACCAACTATGGCACAGATCATTTCAAAAATAAAAGAAAAACTCAAGAAGAAAAAAAAATCAGTGATTATACCAAAATGTGATCTAAATAATGTCTCAACAGAATTTACTGATAACATAAGAAACAGATTCACACTACTAAGCATAATAGACCAAGAACCAGAGGAACTGTGGGCTGAAGCCAGGGACATAATAAAAGAAGAATGCAGACAGACACTTTCAATAAACAAAAAGAGAGAAAAAACCATGGATGACAGAAAAAAAGCAATAAAGAAAAGAAGCAATACAAGCAATAAAGAAAAGAAGAAGAAAAACAAAAAGGAGATAGGAACAAACTAAGAATTATGAATGCAACAGTACAATGGCTTGTGCGGAAAGATAAAGAAAAATTACTACAACGACCAGTGCAGAGAAATAGAAGACAACAACAAGATTTTACAAGATTTCACAAGATCTGGGAAATCAAAGGAAAATGCAAACCAAGGACTGGGACACTCTATGACAATAAAAACAACATAATTCAAGACGAAGAAGAAATAAAAAGACTTTGGATGCAATACACAGAAGAATTATACAAAAGAGATGACAAAATGACACATGGAATGAAGAGCCATATGAAGATAAACACCAATTCTAAAAAGCAAGATGGGAAGAAAAATAGTGAAAAACAAATCACCATGAACAGAAGATATTCCAATTGAACTGCTTCAATCTATATTGGCAGAGTCAACTCTAGTGCTAACCAACGCATGTCAACAGATATGGAAAACAAAACGATGGCCAACAGATTGGAAGCGATCAATATACATCCCCATCTACAAAAAAAGAGACACAAGAGAGTGCAACAACTATAGGACCATAGCACTGATCTCCCACGCAAGCAAAATCATGCTCAAAATTCTGCAACATAGACTCCAACCATACATAGAGAGAGAAATCCCAGAGGTACAAGCAGGGTTCAGGAAAGGCACTAGGGACCACATTGCAAATACAGGATGGATAATGGAGTGCACCAGGGAATTCCAAAAGAAAATCAGAATGTGCTTTATAGACTGTACCAAAGCCTTTGACTGCATAGATCATGAAAAGCTATGGAATATCCTTAAAGACATGGGAATGCCAACACATCTTATAGTCCTGATGAGGAATCTGTACTCAGGATAAGAGTCTACTGTCAGAACAGAACATGGAGAAACAGAATGGTTCCCAATTGGCAAAGGGGTCAGAGAAGGTTGCATCCTTTCACCCTACCTATTCAACTTACATGCAGAATATATAAGAAAAGCAGGCTTGGACACAGAAGAAGGAGGAGTGAAAATAGGATGAAGGAATATCAACAATCTAAGATATGCAGATGACACCATAGTACTAGCAGAAAACCTCACAGACCTGAAACATCTACTAAGGAAGATCAAGGAAGAAAGTGCTAAGGCAGGTTTAATGTTGAACATAAAGAAAACAAAAGTAATGACCATGGAGAATCCAGACAAATTCAACCTAGACAATGAAGAAATAGAAGTGGTAAAAGAGATCTCATTCCTGGGATCAAACATTGATAGAAATGGTGACTGCATTCAGGAAATCAGAAGAAGACTAAGAATGGGGGGGGGGGGCAGTGGCTATGAAAGAACTAGAAAAGATTCTAAAATGCAAAGACATACAACTCAGAACAAAAGTTAGACTCATACAAACCATTGTATTCCCTATTACCATAGGTGTATGTGTGAGCTGGACAGTTAAGAAAAATGATAGGAAGAAAATCAATGCATTTGAGATGTGGTGCCGGAGAAGAGTGCTGAGGATCCCATGGACACCAAAAGGACAAACAAATGGGTCCTACAGCAAATTAAGCTGGAAACCTCCCTGGAAGCCAAGATGACCAAACTGAGACTGTCGTACTTCAGGCACATCATGAGAAGGGAGGATTCACTGGAAAAGACAATAATGCAATAATAAGGGGAAGGTGGAGGGAAACAGGAAGGGAGGAAGGCCACATGCCAGATGGATGGACTCTATTAAGGAGGTCACGGGTATTAAGGTGTTGCAGGAATTAAACAGAGCAGTGGAGGAGAGAGGCTCTTGGAGATGTCTCATCCATAGAGTCACCATGAGTCGAGATCGGCTCGAGGGCAGTTAACAACAAAATAATTAAAAGGAGAATATCAGGTAAGATGTCATTGGGTATGACTTGAACTAGCATGCATGAAAGACCCCGCCCCACAAATGTCCTGATGCTATTAAAAATTAAGCAAATGAATACAAAGATGTTTGCTTCTTTGATTAAAACAATGGAGACGTGGTACATTTTTCACACAGATTCACATCATCATAAGCATCTTTAGTCTCTTTTGAACATTTAACTTCAAGTTCCAAAACCATTTTAGTGTAGGTTATTCTTCTCTAAATATTTTGAATTGCTGTCCTGCATAATCCCTTGCCCTTGCCCAACCTGGTAGGGGCTGCTGAAACAGCATTAGATTGGAGATTGCTGGCATCACAAGATTTAGTTAAGTAATGCTAGGGAAAATAATGTCTTAAAGTAATTAGTTAAACATCTAAAACCTCTGGTAGTTATTTCATTACAACTTAAAAAATAGCATCTTGATTTTTATCAGCAGCAAATATAACAGATAATTTAGTTACTTTCAAAAAATCTGAATGCTAGAAGCTGCTGGCCTCTGGTCCAAGAAATGCTCTCTTCCAGTTCAACTCATGGCCATCACAAACTTCCCAATAAATCACAAGATAGTTCTTGAATCATATGATATTATTCATCCATGATTTAGTGAGGTCACATCCCTATTATTATACAAGTTATATAAAAGGTTGTACTGCAAAATGAGTAACATTATACCTCATTCAAGATGACTGTGAGTTATGTCAGTTACTGGAAAAGGGAAGTACAGTAATCTCAAATAATTATAGGTAATTTCTTCCCAGTTCTGTATCTAGGTAGTTTTATTTGGACAGACAAGAATCTTTTCCACTGGGCATTGTTTGTTTTATAAATAAGAGCTATAGAGTGAAGCATTTTCATATGGTCACCTATGGTGCTCATTCTCCAGCAATCTGCTGAAAACAGCCTTATGTGTTAAAGAATTGGCTGATGTGGCCGACAGCAGCATTGTAAGAATGGCCTCTTTCAGGCTAGTGGTGTCACTAGGTTTGGAGTCACTCATTGCAGTAACTCATGGTGTCATCTCCCTCCATTGACCTCCTCCTATCCTACACCATACACAATCCTTAGTAACAATTTTTGTACTAATGTTACTCATTAATTTGAAGTTGTAGGCTTTCATGGCCGGCATCCATAGTTTTTTGTGGGTTTTTCGGGCTGTGTGGCCATGTTCTAGAAGAGAGAAACTCTTCTAGAACATGGCCACACAGCCCGAAAAACCCACAAAAAAACTATTACTCATTAATCATAATTTCTATATATTACTGAATGTACAGTCTCCCCTCCTTTTTCATGGGGAATCCATTTCGGACCCCCTCCCCACGAAAATGGAAAAACGCAAATATTCAAGCCCTATTGGCTTGAATGGAGGCGTGTGTCCATTGGGGGCAAGTGGGCACATGCTGTGAGTGCGCTCCCCAATTTTGTGCCCCTCCGTTCGTCCCTTGCAGAGAAGCGAGGATCATGGACTTCAAGTCCATGAAAAACAACTGTAATGCTAATAGTTGTGACATAAACAACTTTGTTTGCTGTTGTGTGCCTTCAAGTCATTCCTAACTTACAGCTACCCTGAGTGGGTGTTCTTGGCAAGATTTTGTTCAGAGGAGGTTTGCCATTGCCTTTCCCTGAGGCTGAGAGAAAGTGACTTGTTCAACAAGCTGGGAATCGAACCCAGGTCTCCAGAGTTGCAGTCCAGCACATCACTGCACCACACTGGCTCTCTAAACAACTAGCAAAATTAAAATTATACCTTTAAATTACAATATCATATGCATGCCTAAATGTATTTACACATACACAGTTTCATGTAATTGAAGTAAAAATTTGGTAAAATGTGATGTTTTAAAATATATATTTTTAAAAATTAATTAACATTTAAAAACTGGGGTTTCTCCTTTCTCGTCCCACTAAAGGCCTAAGCAGACTGCCAGAAATAGTGCACATTAAATTGAGGCACTGCCCTGGCTCAGTGCTAGGGAATCATGGGAACTGTATTTTTTTCTGGGACATTGAGCCTTCTCTGTCAGAGAGCTCTGGTGCCACAATAAACTACAGTTCCCATGATTCCCTAGCACTGAGCCAGGGCAGTGCCTCAATTTAATGTGCACTATTTCTGGCAGTCTGCTTAGGCCCTAAGTCTCACCTCACTCACCCCATTTCTTCAGCATTTTAAAGGGACACAGGCAAATGCCACAGCCCATTTCTGCCCAAAGCAGATGTTTGAGGAATGTGGTGTCACCCCCCTCAGGGTGTCACCTGGTGTGATCCACCCCCCTGCACCCCCTAGTAACACCACTGTTTCAGACTATCTTACTTGCGTTCCTAGTTCCTTTCCTAATTCACTTTGCCAGCACAATACCCATCACCCAATGGCTCCCCAAACATGTGTACTACCCAAATGCTCCCCCCCTCATTTTTTAACTATCTCCTCTTCCTGACAAAGCAAATAAACCACAAGATATATAAATACATTCCAAGAGGCAATGAGATTTCTCAGTTGTACCAAGTTGTTGGTTTCCAGTTTTCATATCTTGATTTCACTCCTTACCTGCATGCATTGCAACAGTACACACTCCTTTCCCAGAAATGATATTGGACAAATGGAATTGGGAGGATTTTTTTATCTCCTCTTTGAGATTCTTGTTCTGCTGCATAAGTCCCCTGCCTGGTGTAATGACTGAGGGCATGAATTATTGTACTACAAATTACAAGTTTTCTGTAAGCTTATAGTATTATTTCTCACCTTAGCAAATCTAGTATTCTCAGTTTTTCTCCCAATTGATACCAGGTGTACCACTATACAAAACAGTTATCCTCCCTTTTCTCAGATTGTCATGTCTGATTTAAAGATATATGTTTTAACAGGAAACAGTGCTGCACTGATATTGTATCTGCAGTGATTTAATCTAAAAACAAACATCAAAATGCAAACTGAGCGCCAGATAAAAGTCTGTTAGAATCCAAGCCATAGCGGTGAGTGTGGCTAAAAGAATTAAATCAAATTTTATGTTACTGTTTTGCAGTTGTTACACGAACTACAGTTGTGCAGCTGCTTCAGGCAAATCCTGAATTCTAAAGTGAACTGGGTTGATTCATACCAATTTACACAATATGTCCAGAATAGGTTGGATCAGCATGAATTCAATCTACAGTGCTGTCAATATCTTCACTCCTGAAAGGAAATGCCAAGGTAGGTTGATGGTGACCTGGACATTGTATGTACAGTGACACATCTAGCTTTCAATCTAGGGTAAATATTTTACCATTAGTTTCCATTCACAGCCTGCGGGTGTAGGGAAAGGGTAAAGTGTGACCACTGACATATATATATTCAATTTTCTCCTGCAGGTCTGTGTCTTTTTTCCAGCTTTAACTAATAGTAGCAGATTCCCATTAACTTGCCATGTTGCCTCTGTGTGACACTTTATTTTTGATGGTGGCTTCTGGTCTTCAGCTATGTTCTTTAGTGCAGCTGTCCTGATAAGATTTTCAGATTTCCAAATCTTAATTCTGATCTAGGACATGGATTGCATAAAACTGAGTTTGAACTGGGTTAGGATCAATTTGAATTGGGCTCTGAACTGAATTTGTAGACCCTTGCACAACCCTACCATGATGTAGGAATAATTTTGTGTGAATCTTGTCCTGCAGTGCCTTGGTGAAATGGTTCTTGGTTGTGAGGTGCTCGGCTCTGGTCTCCACTTGGGATGAAGTCAACTTCATTTAGTGAGGTTTGCAAATGACAGATTCTGAAATAAGCGTATCTGTATGTACACACGTGCAGGCAGGCATGCCATAGGAAAAACTCACCTCCAGGCAGCATTTCATCATGATGAAGCTAAAGGTGAACAATTAAAGAGTGTTTTAATACATCAATCAGAAGATGATCTTCCTAGCCACCTAGTAACTATTAACAAAGGAACTGAATCATATCCATTTTTGTTGCAAGAAGAATACTGGGTTTAAATGATCTAGGATTTATACGCATGCACTTTTTAATTTGCAGGTAGTACCATAAAATACTGACTCTGGATGGCATTGTTCCTGTTAAGGCACATCTTCACTGCAGACATTTTAGAGTATATTTTTATAGTTTAGGACACGTTTCTTCTTTTCCTTTTACAGATCAACATCCTTACTAGAATGACTGTTATAGAGCCTTTCTTAGAGCTGCAAAAATGGGAGCTGCATTCCCTAAATCTTTTGTCATCCTCAATCCAGTTTTGAGCACTCCTTTAACAAGTATTTTTTCCTTGTTACTTGTTCTCTGTGTCTTTGTATGTGCACGAGTGTAGGATTAATTAATTATGTTCCTCTTTATTATTTACTTAAAAAGCACTTTGTTACAAGATTGTTGTTGTTAACTGCCATTGAGTTGACCTTGACTCATGGTGACCCTGTGGATGAAACATCTCAAGACTCCCTGCCAAACTTGGGTCCTCTAAATTCATACCTGTGATCTTCCTAATAGAGTCTATTCATCTATGATCTTCCTCTCTTTCTACTTCCCTCCACCTTTCCTAGCATTATT